GAGAGTGAGAGTGAGAGTGAGAGTGGTTTCTTTAACGATTGTGCTTGCAAAAAGCACGTGCCTTTTTGCTGCCGCTTAGTCTCACCAAGTGGGTTCTGTCAACAGGCGGTTGTAGCATGAAGCCAATCGCATCCTTGTCCTCGTTCATGCGCCAGGAACTTAGAAGAACGCCCCGTCGAGCATAGCAGCTTTGTCGATCTTTGTGCATTGGGCTTCAAAATTAGTATTTCGCACAACCTGTTGCGCAGCTTGTCCAAAACATCAATTGTTTCTTTTTGTTGGTTAACCACCGATACGGCGAAAGCGTTGTGAGCAATCACTAAGTTTGTTTGACTGAGTCAGGCCTTTTTCTTCCGAGCTGGTTGTTATAGTTGCTTGGTGCTCTAAGCCGTGGCCTGAAGACGGTGGTTGATTCACCTGGTACAATCACAATCGCTTTGATTCAAGCATGCTTGATTCGGACCGGGAGCTGTTGACTGCAGCCTTTGAGGCCAACCCATGCATTAAACAAAAAAACACACCACGACGGATTCCGTCTGGCGGTGCTGGTGGAGATGCCACCCCTGCTTGGGCTCGGTGGCCACTAGTTGGATCCGAAGCACCGGGCAGATTCAAATTCGAGCAAGGCCCGCAAGGGCGATCTTGTACCAATTTTCAGCGCGAAGACAAGCAACCTCAAGATGATTGCAACGTGAGACTAGATCTTATCCGTTTGGAGACTCGGAGCGCCGTCCATTGTACTTCACGAGATGTACGCGATCTGTCGCTGCACACGGTGTCGGCAGACTGGCAACGGGTCGTGTGAGCAGGCCATGTACTTGTATCGTGTTTTTTGGTAGGTTTGTGCCTCAAAGTGTGGCTCTAGCAACAATGAGCTGGCCAGTCCGCCCAACGTAGCCTTTGCAGAGACCTCATGTTGGACTGTCGCCGCCTAAAGGTCAGTCTGCATACTCGAGACATGAATATCATGTGTCGCTCTGGTGAGGTCTCAGTGCTGATGCTTGCTTGCAGCTCGGCGGATGTTCGCAGTTGCTGTGTGGCGTAATCGACCGGCGTGACATCTAGTTGTTGGGCATTGGGAGAATCCAACCCTTTGGAGGTATTTGGCCAGCGTCTTGACGTTGGGATCCTAGTTTCTCGAATAGAGCTGGGTATGTTCCAGATGCACAGTTAGCGAACATTATATGTCCTGTCTCTTGGACTTGCTTCAGGCTGCTTCGTGCTGTAGGATGCCTGTGTGCAGTAGATGCCAACCAAGATTTGACCAAGCCTCAGCGCAGCATTCTGACCCGACAGTTGCTTGTGGGAAACCACGGGCTGTGAAGTTGCCCATTGAGGATTGTGGCCGGGACACCTCTGGGTGCTCATTTGCAGGCGTGCAGCGTCTGTTCGAGCCAGCAGCAAGCAAACAACCTACATGGGCTAAGCTGTCGCAAGGTGCTTGCAACATGCCTGGCCTTGGCCGGTGTTGTGGCCTCATCGGTAGCTTCTTGATGCTGTAAGTGGTATTCAGCTCCTGGTTTCGATGAGGTTCCCACACTCATCATGGCCAACATTGGCATGCACAGACATGTCGGCTTTTATGTGGATGTCTTACTTTCTCGTCTTGTTGCCAACGCCTCCTGTAGCTCTGCAATTGCACTGATGCCCGTTTGAAACGAGGTTAGATTCTTCACATACTATCTCGCTCACGCCTCAAACGTGGTATAGTCACTGGAAGTAGGATGGGACCTTGTAGGTTCGTGGCAAAGTGCTAGGATGAAGCTTCGTTTTGTGCTGCTGCTCAGGGCGGATGCGTGATCTTTGACGCATTGATCGCTCTCATGCGGCTTTGGTGCATTCGGGGATCGACTTGCAGCAAACCTACAACTGCCGTGGCTTGCACAAAGGCTGCCGATGGGCAGCAACATGTGCTCTGTCATGGGCTTGGCTTGGTGATCACGGCACCTAGAGCTGAAGCCGACGGATTTTATGATATAATATCCGAAGGCCTTGGCAGATCCGTACGTCCTGCAAGCAGGTTGGATTCAATTGCGAATGGGGGGTTGGCAATGTGCAACAAGTAGGGAGCAGCCCGACAACTGCCGCAGCGTGCAGGGCGTATCTTTGTTTGCAGCTTCATCAATGCTACCTATGCATTTTGGGCAATCGCCTGCAACCCAGCCTTTCGCTCTTCGTTTGCAGCTTGAGGCTTCTTAAGCTTGTGCCGCCTGACTGTTGAGGTCTTCATTTTGTTCGAAGTTCAGCTTGTGCGAAAGGCGCATATTCTGGCGTGCTCGAAGGGCCGAACGTGCACAGCATTGCAGGTGCACGAGCAAGCTCTGATCATAGAAGAGGGCGAATTTGTGCAGTTGCCGCTTGAAGCAAAGTCGTTCAATGAGTTCTTTTCGTGTTGCCGGACAGACTCCCCTAGTTTTGTTCCTGCCGAGTCTGAGAAGTTGCAGGCTGCGCTATGGGAAACAGCCAGCCGACTTCAAGGCTATCGAAGCCAGGTGATCCTCAACCATGCGTTAGCGTCTCATCCCTGCCACAATGGAGAAAAGATAAGACAAGCAGTTCGAGACAATTGGAGGGCTCTCAATGCACACATGCCTCGGCTGCTGAGCATTAAGGTGCTTGTTCACGGAATTCCGGCATGCATGAACAACACGGCTCAATTGAACCTCGAGCAGAGGTTGACTACACCCTTAAAGGGTTAGGAGCCGCTTGCTGAAACGTGCAGCATGACTGGACAAGAGGCTCGAGGTCTTGCAGAGTCTTGGCGAAAGCTCTCGCTTCCTGCGGCCTCCAGGCCAATCCGTTGACGTCTTGGATTTCCTCCTGGGTGGGTCTCTCTGCAGCAAAATTTCAGACCGTGCTTTGAGAGCCCTCGTTGCGTGTGTCTGTTGGCGTGGATGGAAGCTCCAGCGATCTAGCACGTTTTGGAAGGAAGCTCTGCATCTTCAGCATCCAAACTTCCAGATGGAAAGGTGGGTCGTCCTGATGTGATGACATGCTTACGACCCAGTGTGCCAGGTGGAGGATGAAGACAAGTGGGAGCGTGAACGAGCTTTCGACATCGCTGACAGTCTGGAAAACGCAGATCCTACATGTTACCCCTGTGGAAGGGGACAGGAACGTGTTGGGACCTTTAGGGTGATGATGCTTGTGGTTTGTCTTGTCAGGGCTTGGCGCGGGAGATTGTCACGGAGCCGAAGTCTCAGACGGGCTTCCCCGGACGGCAGCACAGTTTCCTGCACTCGTGACTGAGGTTCATGCATCCCCTCCGAAGAGCTAGCAAGCTCTGGAAATTCCACGTCATCCGATCCGAGGAGTCGAATACTGCGTTGAATCGTGTTGGTCCATCCGGACTGTGTGCTTTGATCCGAGACTCGGCCTGTGCCCTGCTGCCTTGCGATTCTCAAGCCTGTGCAAGCTGGGTTCAATGAGACCGATCGAACCTTTTAGGGACCTGGGGCTCTCATGTGGTTCTACAGATTCTACAGATAAGGCAGGCTAGGTCCGGCTAGGTGCTGTCATCTCATGCAGACCTCATAATCTCAAAGACTCATAGACTGAATCACAAGCAATCCGATAGGAAAGTTTAGATCTTCCGTGACGATGACAGCAGATGCCAAAATATTCGCTGCGACCTTGCAATGTGGGGAGTGCTGCTAGAGTTCGAGCTCCGTCAGACTACCTTGCATGACTTCGAGGTTCCTGTGTTCCATGGAGAAGTTTTCATGTCCTGAGGTCAAGAACTTGCCTGCTGACATCAAAGAGAAGGAGGAGCAGATACTCCATCTCCTCACAAGATGTTTCCGCTACCTTGCTTTTTGACAGGTGAAATACATCTTCAGCAAGTATGGAGTCGTGCAAGCCGCTGATGTCTGCAGCTTACCAGTGTCTTCCGGACTGGGAAGATCCAGCAACAAGATTGTATACCTGTAAGGTGATAATGTGGCCAGGGACGCCAACGCTGTGCATGGGCCTTTGCATGACTTTGCAGATTTTCGTTGATATTTCTCGCAGTTCTCGCGGAGCTGCACACGAAAGTGCACTCCATCATCAGGTCCGAACGGGAACTTGGCATCAGTGGAGACGCCGCTTTCCAGCCGCAGCTTGGCAAAGTGTGCACGAATGACAAGACAGAGAGTCTGTGAGTTGTGGAAATCATTGTTTCAACTCGGCGTGAAATCTGTCCCCAGGCCAGAAGGTGGAGTGGCAGGTGCTGTGGCGAGTTTTGAGCGCTTGTCGTGCTCTGCTGTTCGAGTCTCTCCTTGCTTTTCAGGCTTGTGCGTTCATCACGTACAGCAAGGTGGGTGGATGCTTTTGAGTGGCACCGGCGCGGCATGAACTGTGTGTCCCGCTGCTGCTTGCGGGCACAGGCAGAAGCTGCCGGGACGGCGGTGAAAGCATTGAATGGTGTGTACCGTCCACGCAGCTTGGCACGCTTTGTTGAGGGTCTGACTTCAGAATGCAGCTTGCAAGCCGCAAGTGCCGCAAGCTAGGCAGTTCATCGCCAGAGCCACTAGCTGCTGGCGGCCCAGCTTTTGCAGCGACTGCGGAGCTGCAGGAAGCTTTGAGGGCTTTTGGGGAACGCAAGACGACGACGGAAGGACGGAGATGCCGATGGCGATGTCTTTGCGATTCGACAGGCTGTGTCCTTCCAAAGAGGTGGTCCCAACGCAGGCCTGAAAAGCGCAACAAACGAAGCTTCAGACGGCGGCAGGGCTTCGTGCGCATCTGCATGTGCCCACCTGTCACCAGAGACACGAGAGCCTGAGCTCCCATGTCTGATCCGAACCAGGCGACACTGTACAGTAGGGCGATGGTGCACCGAAATCCTTGAGGTCATGCTTGCTCGGCCTGGAGCGCTTCCGGACCCAGTGCAGCCACGGCCTCGGAGGTTCGTGGACGAGTCTTTCGATCAAGGATGTCTTTGCTACCGAGGTCAGGCTTGCCTGCGCCACAAGATGAGCAAGTCGCGAGCTCGGAGTTGGGGGTACTTCTTTCGCATGTTTTCTGTGTGATTCTCATAAGCTCGCCCAATGCAAAGGTCGCGGTGATTGCTAGCGTGGACAAGGCATCTCGAGTTGCTCCGTTTCGCAGTCGCTACACCCTAGACCAGCTGGAAAGGTCGGGAGCAATTTCTCCTCAAGCTTGCCTGCAGCGTCCGTCTTACTGAAACGTACTGCCAGCTTGGACTGCCAGCTTTGCTGTCTCTTGCAATGCTACAATGGCTAGATCTCGTCAGATGCTGGCAGTTCAGTCGTACTTGGTCAGGCAGCAACTGCCACGGCCTCTTATGTCGCGGAGAAGACTCGATGCCGAATTCCAAGTTGGATGACAGCAGTGAGAAGCAGCTTCCCGACCATGCGGATCGACTGATGCGAGGGATGAAAGATCGTTCCGGGTTAGCATGTTGCAAACTGACTAGGACTTTCGTCATGACGGGCCTTGGCCGGCGAGAAGAGCTGTACCTAAGAGTTTGAGTTGCAAGTCTGCGAGATGTGGAAACGAAACAATGCCTCGACCCCCGGATGTTCACCGAGCGGAATGGATACATTGCCACTGGTGTGGCCATTTGTCTGGGGTGTCTAGGATCGCGGGCGTGCAAGTCTTGGGTGCAGGCAGAGGAGCAAGGTTACACAGGCTGGCTTGCCACCGGCATAGAAGCTCTGCTTCACTGAGGTAAACTTTTCGTTGGCAATCTCCACTCCGACATTCCGCGAGAAAGGCCTCGTCCTCGTCTCAAGGCTCAAGGTTGTGCAAGTACTGCTGGGGTAGCCGGAGCCCAGCTGTGACCCAGGTTGAGCCAAGTCTTCGGAGAATGGGGTAGGGTCGTGAACGTGCATGTTCCGAACTTAGCACAGACTCTTGGTCCGTGGCGACTGAGTGACGTATCCTCCCAGGTCATGACCGGGAAGTCCAAGTTCGGCAGTGCTTGTGCGTTTGTAGAAATGGTCCTTTAGCTGCGTTTTGGAGCCTGGAGCTCCTGGGCCGCCTGGGTCGCATCGTGCAAGGCCACACCTGCCGAAGCCGAAATTGCCTTGAAGGCCGGGCCAAAGGCCCTGTAGGACTGTAGGACCTGTGTCAATGTCCACCTTGTTTTTCCGGATTCACGGTCAAGGCACTTCACCAAAAGTACGAGCCGAGGACCGTCGGCCAATGACTGAAACATCACTGCTTTCGATTGTGGTAATGCCGGACACTGGCATGTTTGCAGGATCGGATCTATGACTGCTCCGGTTACAGTGACGTACTTCCAGCATGCTGGAAGCATTTACGGGTTGAAGTTCAAGAGCAGTTTGCCGATAGACTTCGTTTCTTGGTGCCTGCCCAGGTCTCAAAGCAGTGGAAAGGCAGCCGTGACCTCACAACGAACAGTACTGGGGTTTTAATAAGTCTTGCCGCTTTTGTCTTCGGGGATCACATGTCAGCAGCTGTCAGTCACCTACGATGGCACAATGTGATCGAATATGTTGTGAGTTCCACATTTTGGGTTTGTTCACTGTGCAGTTGTTGTTTTTCATGTCGCATCTGCTGAGCAACAGAGCTTTGGGAGAGGATTTTAGATTTCTGTGTCCGTTGCGGGTGCAACCAGACGAAACAAACCTTCTGTTCACCTGCCATCTCATTTCGTGTAACGAAGCAGCATGCCACCCACCTTCCTGATCACGGGCATGACCAAAAGATCAATGAATGTTTTGAGCAATGTCGCCTATGTCGTTCCTGGCACTGTATCGGCCAAAATCATCAGAAACAGGTATGTAGGACTCGGAGCAACATGTTTCCAAGTGTGCAGCTTGAAGCCTTTCTATTGGTTACACCTGCTCTTGGAGACTGTGCCGTCGGTTTGCGGCAGTCGATCTCCCAGCCACTCGGAACCAGGATGAGGTCTTTTGAGCCCAGACATGTGAGTTTCTCAAGTGTCGATATGACTTACAAAGTGGTCGACCGCAGGCATCGGATGTTGATATGATACTAAATATGTTGCTCATGTCATGTCAGAGAAAGCCTTTCATTAATCGGTGTGGCAGTGAGGCACAAACCCTGGGCTCACCAGCTGTGCCGGGTTTCTCCCAAGCTGGTGGGTTTTCGAGATACACTCCGTGCTCGCCTCAGACACGGTCCGGGGTGTCTTGCCCACCTCTGACATGTCCGCTGCTGAGGTACCAAGTCTAGCGAGATTTGAATGGAAAAAGACGACGGCTATTTGCGTGTCTCTGTGTCGGCTCGGGGCATTTTGCTTCAGCGCAGCACAATCGTGGATGTGATAGCCCAGCTGACTTCACGAATCTAGTCGTGCAGCAGAATCCAATGCTCGGATCCTCTCCAATCTCGACGTTTTGTGACCTGTCGCATCATGTTCTTCCGACTGCAGTCGTGTCTAAGTAAGTGCCAAGATCTTGCAAGTCAGGAAGGATGGAACTGCTTAGCCACAAGATAGCCTCTAGTTGAGCTGATTCATCATTGCCTAGTGCATGCTGGTTTTTGTCCGCGTCCGTACTTGATGACAGTGTAATGCAGCTTCTGCATGACTCTTCATGCCATGCTTCATCAGAGTCCAAGTTACGTTCTTCCAGCCATAGTCACAGCACCGAGTTTTCAGTGACATTGCCAATCAAGGAGCCCCAGCAAGCATACCAACATCCAGCATTCTGCCGTGGGTGGCCTTTTGCCCATGCCATGGCACTGCACGGATTGCTCAGACAGACCACAAAGGAGGAGCACCCAAGACCATACTCTTCACTGAGCATTGCACGGGCCCCAACTCGGGCTACCGAGCATCAGCCGTCTTCAGCATGGTCATCTCGGCCGAATACCGCTCGGGGGGACGTCTCTCGGCAGAGCAATCGTGAAGGCTACAACCTGGAAAGTCAGCCGGTAGCACGGCCACTGCGCTTGGAAAATGCAAGTGCGGATCTGATCAAAGACTTGGAGCGCCTCAGTGGCCGGCGTCCGCGTTGTCAGCTTGCTGAGGAGCTGGTGCACAAAGCCAACGACAAGTTAAATGAGTTTATGGGCTTCCACATCTACCTGGCAGAGGACAGGCAGACGATCGGCACAGATCTTGAGAGTGAGCCTTTGAAGCAGCTCAATGCAAAGTTCGTTGAGCTGGTCTCCGACATCGAAGCGGCCCTGGCCGGGACGGAGGAAGCGACACTCCCTCCTCTGACAGTTCGACCGAACGGAACCGTCCTTGAGGAGTCTTTGGAGGAAGGAAAGAAGCTCTTTGTGGTGATCCCTTTGCCGTGCCGGAGGGTGGAGGTGCTGGTGAACTTAACCCGGATCTCAGGTGATGTGCACCTCTATGGCTCAGACATTGACCCTCGGCCGTCAGCAAGCTCGGAGCTCGAAGAAGAGGGCGGTGAGCTCTGTTACCGTCACGATCCCGACATTGGAGGCAACCGCTCCAGCGGAATTGTGAGAACAGCGCTATATCTTTGCATCCAAGCTGACGAGCAGCAAAAGGCCAGTTTCCGTCTTCGCGTTTTTCAGAAAAGGCTCATGGAGAACGGGAACCAGTGGGGGGTGGCCAGCCTGCAAACCGCCTGCAAACGGGTCGAGCAGAAGCTGGCCGTGATAAGGAGCGACCAGGCGCATCGGACTAAGTTCGAGGAACGGCTAAAGGAAGCCAAGGAGCACTTGAGGCAGAAGAGCGGCGCCAGCAGCAGGGACTTCTGTCGACTCAACCACCTCCGAGCACGAACCTGGGGAACAGACAGGGCCCGCAGCACTGGGATCCAGCGCCAGCGCCTACTGAAGCGACAGGCGGCAGAGTTTCGCCGAGAGCAGCTGGACTCGAAGAGAGAGGAGAGGATGCAATGGTGGCTTGATCGCCCCGAGCTCCGAAGACTGGAGAAGGAAAGGGAGATGCAAAGAAGACACGAGGCCTTGCAGATGCCTCTCTGTCGCAGCTTCATGCGGCTTCGCATGCTTCGCATGCTTCGCATGCTTCGCCTTCGCACAGTGTCTTGCACCTTGCAAGCAGCTCAGGGAAGAAAGACGGGCGGAGTGGATGACCAAGTTGGCTGTAGCCCCGACTGCAATCAGCAGGGCAGGTGTGTCAGAGTTTCCCTCTTGGTCTGGAAGCGAGTTGCGTGTTTACACGACGACCGTGTAGTTTCGTGAAATTCCCTGGGAGGGGTTAACACAGTGATTTGCAACAGGACACATGCACCACATCTTGGCCTGTCTAAACCGTTCTGGCGAACCAAGATGGCCAGCTTCGTCATCGTGCTGTTCAAGGCTCTGTCGTGCTGTGATGTGCTGTGTATCTTTGCAGATTCGATGTGCGTGCATCTCAATCCAACATGTTGCCTGCCCCTGCCTGAAATGTCATTGTGAGTTTTGACCTTGACCTGGAACTCAGAAGTGCTTCGAGACTCCACCGCTGAATGCCTTGTTTGACAGAGCTGCAGAGCTGTCGCAGACATCAGTACATCAGGTTGTTCAACTTCTCCGCAGCTAGAGCTCCCTCTCCCGTCAGGAGATGCTAAAGTCAGAGTCAGAGTTCCTGTCCACAGACCAACCATCTTCACTTGACGGAGACTTTCTTGACACAGTTTTGAGTTCGCAGCTCCCCGGACTGCTGTCCACAGGTCAAGACGTTGCAAAGCCACGTGAAAAGAGGAAAAAGATCCTCCGGACACGGTCGAAATTTGAAGCATTTCGTGCGCCCGTTTCTCGGAAACGGGGGCCTTGGCTTTTCAGCGGTGACGCAGTGTCCACTCTTTGCAAGGCCAGTCTTCGGACAGAGTTCAAGCCGGACCTCTCACCGTCACCGATCATTCAGTGTCCGATGCCTAGGGCAATAATTACTTGAAGGTTCATGGGTAGATATAAGTGGGGTTATAACTCCCCTAATATGGGCTATAATTATAGTTACTGTACCCTACTTATAACCCTACTTATAACTACTCATGAACCTCCAAGTAGTGTGTGGGGAGCTGCCCCCCCCGAGCCGAGGCCAGAGGAACCAGACGAGAAGCCGGATCATCCGGACCCAAGCGCTCGCCAGCTGCCCAGGCTCTCCGAAACAGGTGTTGCAAAAGCTATGCGCTTGCCAAGGCCTCGCGACAGATTCCGAAATTATCATCGACGATTTGCAAAGCTGGACGCCTTCTGCCTAGGCCTCGTCTGGATCGTGAGGGCCAGTTTTGGGTCTCCCGTCCTCTTGACCGTATCAGGTTCCCAAAGAGGAGCCTTGACGCGCGTTTTGGCGCATCTTTGATTGCAATAATATGTGAGAACCTCTTCCAAAGCACTCGTCGACGTTAAAACGCATTGATGCGTGTAAGCCTGTGGACGTGCTGAGGCTGACAGCAAAAGCAGCACGAGATACCATCTATGGAATCTATGGGCTTCTTTACCTTCGGCGTGAAAAAGCGCTGTACAGCAGTTTTCGTGGCCAGAGCCATGCACATTGCACCTTCGAATGTGAAGAGCAGTGTTGTGAAAATCGCCGTATGTCGCAGTCGGCCAATCGCTCAATCAGGGAATGCGGATCTGATTTACTTGCTCTGTTAGTGTGACAGACTCGAGGACAAGCTTCAGTACCGGCTGTTCTCGGATGACGGGGTGAAGACCGCCTGTTGACTGCTGCAAGCGCTTCCTTTAGCCATGCGTGCTTTGCCAGGATTTTCTGATGTATGCACGAGCAAATCTGGAGGTGCGTCTTGCGGAGCAGGGTCAGTTGCGCTTCAAAAGGAGAGAATCGATGCTGGCACAGGCTCGGCAGGTTTCCTTCTACTTGTACAACCCTTGCGAGAAGGGTGTCAACCTGTACAATGCAGACAAGTGCGGATTCACAGCTTTACCGCGATGTTGTGCACATGCAATGGTTTCCATCTCGCCCCGAAGGGACGAACTGTTTGTGTCGCTGATCACAATCATTGTTTTCTGCACCACTTCTGCAAGAGGCACAAGGTGTGGCTTTCTTTCCAGCTGGTTACTGCTAGTTTTGGACGTGTTCCGGTAGCTTTTCTACAACTCTCATGCTTAGCTCTGCTTTTGGTTGTACGTTGCTTCCTTGGGGTTCAGCTGTGTCGTGCCCTGATTCTTCCTGATGCGTTTTTTTCACAGGGTTGTAGACCTTTGGAGGGGCAGCTTCAAGCTCACTGGACGGAATTGTCAGACAGAGAGCACAGATCTTTTTCGACCTGCTCCACGGGGTTTCAAGTTGCCAAAGTTCTGCATGTTGCTCGAAGAGTCTGATGCCTCTAGACCTTGGATTTTGAGCTGCTCGAATGACGGATCCGACATCCTGGCTCTGTTGCTTCCGAAGATTATTGCTTCTTCTCGGCTTTCAGTCTTCAGTTTTCTGCGCGCTCCTTTGGCCTTATGCTGTCACAACCCACCGGCACGGCCATTCACCGATGCAGCATTCACAAGAAACTACACAGAGGTAGTCTTTCGTGAAGTGCTTCGGCGAAGTGGGTTGCCATCGTTGTGCAGACGCGCCTAGGGACTGAAGGCCGACGAACGTTCTCAACACCAATTGCACGTGGGGTCCCAGGTCACGTGGCTGTAGGCACGTTAGCGCAGCAGCTGCCAACTGGGGCCGTTGCAGTCCGGTGAGCGCGCCGATGCACATGCACCGCGAAGGGCCCGGGTTGTCGGAGCTGTATCAACGATGGCTAGTCATGTCGCTTGTACCGGTTGCCTATGTGATGTATGCATTCCCAATCATGCCCATTTGCCTGGTCGCTGCTGATTCTGATACTGCATGGCGACAGCTAAGCATCCTTGCCTGAATTACGATGCTTGTAACGGATGATGTTTAAGGACAGCAGAGCTCATGCCCACCTGAAGCCGCGAGAGAGCAACTTTCCAGCTCGAATTGCTGAGGCCAGCTTTCTCCATGACGTGGAACGCAGACTTGGGCTTAGTACCAAAGATTACCAAAGTGATGTCAACATTGACGAGTGATTGTGTACTTACCCAGGACAGGACAGAATGGCGAATTATGCAGGAAAGGTGCGAGAACTGCCAGCCCCACTGACTCGTTCTGGGCCAGTAGGGTGCATCGATGTGCGGAGTGGAGACTGCAGTAGCCTTTTGCTTTTTTGCTTTATGCCAGGTTTGCACCAAAGCACCAAACCTGCTCTTGCTACGGAAAGCAGCAGGCCGACGAAATTTTGGACGAAGCGCAGCTGCGGCACTCTGCTGTGCTTGGAGGTCGCGTGGATCCGGCACCACAGGAAGCCTGTTGGTGATGGCATCTTCAATTGCATGGAGATTCACGTCCTGGCCTCGGCAGCTGCAGCAAGCAGTTGTTTGTGTCTTTCATCCCACAGGTGCCGGGATTGTATTCGGATGGCAGCAGAGTTGCTCTCTGCTCAGAGAAGTGTCCCTTGAAGTCTACTGGTTGCTTCATGCGCCCACCTTGAGAGGTCTGGTGTCCACTTCTTGGCAGAGGGGACCTGTCCGTTCCTGTGGATGAAAACTATGAGGCCCTCTCTCGTCTGCTCGTGATGGGGGTCGGATGTTGCCCCATTTACAATCTTGGTTCTGATCGCAGGCTCAGCGATTGATCACCAAGCAGCCGTCTTGGAACGACGAAGCTAGGCCCTGAGGTTTGCAGTGCAGAAGCTGCGTGGATTCCTCTCTTGCCGTTTTGCCCTCAGGTCGAGAGCCTTGTGCTGGATTTCAAGGGCCGGCACATCCTTTCTTCTGCTAAGAACTTCCAACTTGCCCTGCCCGGACCCTCAGCCGGTGTCACCTGCGAAACGACAGGGAATGCTTGGTCTGTTGAGAGGTCGCAGAAGCCTGAGCACGTCCTTTGCCAGCACCATGCTCAGAGCAGGACTTGCATCGGACATCCAGGCTAGCTCCAGACCGTATTATGTGTCTGAGGTATGGCAAGATTGGTCCCCAGACATTTAGCTTGGATTTCAAGCCTCTTGGTTGAGAAGAGAGTCCCTAGAGATGAGAGTGTGATGTTGGCTTGCCAGATGCAGGTATCCACTCAGCGTGGTCCAGGCCTTTGGCATCTCGTTAACGACTCTGTTCTGGACTTGATGTCGGAATCTCAGGCTTTGGCCCTGCTGTTGTGCATTTGTTCTTGGCCTTTCTTGGAGCAATTTCTACTGTCACGAATCGTCAAGTGAAGCCATACAGGCCGAACTACCTGAATGCATATTCCTAGATTGACATCACCATGCAAGACATACAGGGCTACAAACCACCAACAACCTGTGCATAGAACGGTGCGTACCATGTACTGTAGTTTTGTCTAATCTTACTGGTCTCTTGTGAAACCATGGGAAAGACAGAGCATCTGTGGATGACGAATTACTGGAGCCTTGTTGGAACCGAGCTCCAACCTTATTCAAGTTTGACATAGCCCGACAGGTGTCTCTTGCGAAAGTATGGGAGAAAGTCCATGCCTGTTGTACGGTTTTTCTGGGAGCAAAAAACTGTGGAAGCCTTCGAAGCGGGCGAGCACTCCGCAATTCTAGAGTCACAGATGTTTGCAGTCATGGCCTTACCCGACCAGTGATTGTAGGGCAGTTCCAGCTGCAGAGTATGCTACCGTTCTGTGACGGTCAGTGTCGCGGCTGGCGGTGCTGGCACAACGCGGTGCAATCATTCACCGAAAGCCCTGGCCCAGTTCCGAAGAAAAGACACTACAAGAACACTCGGCCAGAATAAGAACCCGACACACAGGTCTTTCCAATGCGTTATCTGAACAAAGCCAGCTCGCGTCAGAAGTGCTGGATTTCTCCGAGGTCAAGTTCCTTGATTTCCTGCTCCCGAGGCTCAGACTGGCCAATAGATGTTGGCCAAGTCTTTGCAGCCCAGGGTTTCGCAACGCTGAGTTCAGGCCATTGCTTAGACGAAAGCTTACGGTAGAATGCCAAGCCGAGAACTCAAGCTCGTTGTGTGGCCGGGCGTTTCCCGGCCATACGTCGCACCACATTTGCAGTTCGACTGCTTGCACGGCTTTCTTTCATATCCATTTTTTTGCTACACCTGCAGCAGCAACGGCAACGGATTTTCAGATCGTGCTCAGATAGCAGCATAGAAGGCTTTGTGTTTGCGGATTCCCTCGCCCGCACAATGCCGTTCGTTGCTGCTGGTGAGCGAATTCACCAGGCCGCAGGGCACCAGCCTCGACCGCTGCCTTAGCGTCGCTCCTGCCGCACACAACTTGCACATTTGTGCCACCACAAAGAAGCCCAAACCGAAAGATCCCCGTGCATCTGAAAATTAGCCGGTCCCATACTCAGAAGAGTTGGCGCTGACAGCTGTGGTGCGCTGAGCGACGACGATGAGATTCTGGATGTTTTAGCAATTCCAATTAAGATCCGGCAGATGGATGAGCGAGGGCACTGATGTGCATGGCCTCGCCATATCAACGTAAATAATGACTGTGCCAAATGCAGGGCAACTCTGTGATTCAGCTTACTCTTGCCGGTATTGCATGCAGGATTTTAAAGCAAGCGCGGAGCTTTGTCATGCTCCATTGAATTCCTGCCACTTGTAGTACCAGACAAACTGGTGAGATAGGATTGTCCACGCATCGCGAACTGTTTTTCTTTTCCTGATCTTGGCAGCCCTGGTTGCAACGGATCTCTTGCAATGCACTGTTTGAACATAGTCTTGTTGGCAACCGCGGGCCGCCCGGTGCTAGAGCAGATGAGTCGCTTGATGCGAACTCCACGACTCCGGCAGGTAGCTTGAAGGCCAGGCGGCATGGCATGTTCATGTTGTGAGTTCTCACATTGCAGGGGTGTGAGTTGTTACAGGCATCAGTGTGTGCATGCATGCTGCGAGTTCAGGCATCACAGGGGTACGACTTGTTATGGGCATCGGGGTGTGTTCGTTGCGAGTTCGCACGAAACGATTTGTTACAGGCATCGGCGAGTGTACAATGTGACAATGTGAGATCACACAACGCATTGAGTGCATGAGCCTATGATAATATGTTGCATATTATCACAAGGGCTACGACCTGTTACCTGCATAGGCGTCTGTATGTTGCGAGACCACACATCACAGCGGGTATGAGTTGTGAAGAGACCTCGATGCCTAGTGAAATGTTAGCATCCATCACATGGGCTGCCTTGGGCATCCATGTTGACCTGCTATGAGACGCGTATAAGAGTTTATCAAAGACATGGTGATGAGCCTTGGGCTGTCCCATGATCTATCGGACTCCGGCGAATGTTTGGCTCAAGTCAAAGGTCAAATTGAAGCCACGAGCTCAAAGAGCACGAGGCTGACGACTAAGGTAGAAAGCACTACTTCTATCTTGTTTCCAGACATCTGCAATTGCGTGTATTGCCCCCTTGCGCAGACACTTCAGCTGGATCGCGAGGAAGCGAAAAGAGACCTGAAGTTGCCTGCTTGGGTTACGTTGTCCAGTGCTTGGTAATAGGCAACCACAACTACAACAAAGCTCGGTGAGGTGAGCAACCATACAGAATATCAAGACCAAACCCTCACGCATGAGTTGTTACGTGCATATGTCTATGTGTGTGTGCGCGCTGCGAGCTCGCACATCACACGGGGGCAGGATTTATTTTGGGCATCGGCATGTGCACATCACAAAGTGTACGGTTTGTTACGGGCATCGGCGTGTGTAGTATGTTGCGAAATCTCACATCACAGGGAGTACGAGTACGATTTGTCGCGGGCATCGGCGTCTGTATGTTGGGAGACCACACATCACAGGGGATAGTGCTTGTTACGGATCGGCATGTGTATGTTGCGAGTTCGCACATCCGAGGGGGGAAAGATTTGCTACAGGCATCGGCGAGTTTATGTTGTGAGATCACGCATCACGAGGTATGATTTTTGGCGTATGATATACGCGTTGCGAGTTCACGCATCGTACGGTTTGTTACAGGCATCGACGTGTGTATGTTGCCGGCCCAGTGCCCTTCATGTTGAGCGCTTGGTCTTGCACTTATGGCTCTCAGCAATTCACGCACCGCAATGCAGCTATTATTCAACGATTCCTGGATTGTGCGCAGAGGGCCTTTGTCGGATGGGCACTCGCAGGAGTTGCTCAACCGCACACCAAGCGTAAGAAGCTACGATTCATGCCAGACGCCGTGCAAGGAAAGCGCCAAGAATTCAAAGGCCGCCCATCACACCCTGTTCCTCGTGCAGTTCTTGCAGCAACTGTCATTTGCAGGAACCATAGTTGATTCATACCAAATCGGCAAGTTCTTTGAGGTATCCCCTGCATTTTCCGGCCTTTTGGTCGGCTTGTTCATGACAGGCGGGGCTGTGGGAACGTCTTTCATGACCTTGATCCTGCAGGCAAGGCCCAGCGCATGGAAGAGCTTTCGCAGCATCGTGCTTGGCTGCCAGCTCATGGACACTTCTGGAGTTTTCCTCTACACCCTGCTCATGATTCTGGCAGTGAACGAGCAGACGGGCCCATCATGGATCTATTGCCTCGCGATGGTGCGCTTTGCTTGGGGCCTTGGGAGTGGTGTGACGGGACAACTGGCTGCAGTGACCATCACGAAGGTGACTCCGCCGCATCAGATACCTGAAGAGATGCAAAGCTTGCAGTTTTGGCAAACCCTTGGCTTGGGAATGGGGCCCTTCATCGCAGGGCTTATGATCTTTGCCCATGGTGCTCTCGGGGCCTCGCATGCCTCGCCGTACAAATTGTGCGCAGCTCCAGCTGCCCTTGCCAGCCTTCAGGTCTTGTCCCTGCTCACTCTTTGGCAGCTGTGTCCCAGTTCTGTGGAAGAGTGGCCTGGGCCTTCTTCTTCTGACGGGACAGGAGTCTCCAAAACATGCCCTCAAAAGCACTCAGGAAGAATCCAGATGCTCTTCCTGAGCTCCTGCTTCCTCCTTTGCAGCCTCCGGGGCTATGCGGTGGCTGGCGCAGAAGTCGGTACCGCCATGCTGCTGGAAGAGTCCTACGAATGGAATCGGCATTCCATTGGCTTCTTGGTGAGCGGGGCTTTCTTGGCAAGCATACCTCTCCGATCGGCATACCTGCGCAACAAAAGTTTATTCAGCACAATTTCATGGATACGCATCCTGGCCTTGATTGCTATGGCTGGCACTCTGCTTCTATTCTCTGAGGTGGCCGAAGTGATGCCACATGGGGTCGCTCTTGTTCTCGCTGATGCCATCATGTTCCCTGCCTTGTACTTGGGAGAGGGGTTGACCCGGGGCTTGATGTTGCAGTTCGCCAAAGACAGTACCGTGCTTTCAGCCAACCAAGCGTCGTTCCTGGCCATCGTCCTGAACAACTGCGCTCGAACAGTGGCACCCTGGCTCTCGAGAAAGCATATCTCCACCGGTGCGCCTTCCCAAGGGCAAGATCTGTTTGCCACTGGGCAGCTACTTTGCTGCGGCTTGTTCCTTGCCATCTTCGAATTCGGGATCCAGCAAGTGTCGGAGGCGGGGGCAGCAGCACCAGCACCAGTCATTGTCATCGGCTTGCCAAGCTTGAACGAAGCTCACAACATTGAGGCCGTGACCAAGGCGGTTGATGCAGGCTGCCATCAACACTTCCCAAACCACCGTTGCATACTGGTCAATGCAGACTGCCAAAGCTCTGACGGCACGCCCGACATCTTTGCCCGGACCCCGACGCATTGCCAGAAAGTTCTGCTGAGGACTGCTTTGCCAGCACAGGGAAAAGGTGCGGCGCTCAGGCTGGTGTTCGAATACATGCTTCAGGTGGATGAATGCACGCATGGGCTGACCCTCGACACCGATGTGACGAGCATCACGCCAGACTGGATCAAGAGCTTCAGTCTCGGTCTTGCATCGGCTTCGTCCTACGACTTTGTTGCACCTCGCTATGCACGGCACCGCCTCGATGGCTTCATCACGAACCTCCTGGTCTACCCTTCCCTTTGTGCGGTCTTTGGCCGTGACGTGCGCCAGGGAATCGGAGGTGACTTTGGCTTTAGTCGCCGTGCTGCCGAGGCATTCTTGGCAGAAGAGTGGTCTCCAAGCATTGAGAAATATGGCATCGACATCTTCATGACCAGCACCGTGCTGAAGAAGGGCTTCTCCATCGGAGAGGTGGAGCTGCCGGCGAAAGTCCACAGCCCAAGCCTGCCGAAGCTCAAAAGGATGGTCATGGAGGTTCTCGAGGTTCTCCTAGCTCAGCTCCAGGGAGAGACCTTCTCAAGAGAAAGCCTCCAGGCACCGCCTCGCATCTGCCTGGCTCAGCTCCAGGAGCACAAGATCCCCGAGCTCCAGGCAGATGCATGGGAGAAGCAGAAAAAGCAGACCCAGGCAGACCCCTGTTCCCTCTTAGTCCTGTTCTTCTCTTTTCTGTTTCGACCTTTCAGGTGGATCCTGCTGTGCTGCTGAATCTGGCGGAGCAATGCTTCCAGGAGAACGAAGCGTGCATCATGGCGACCCTGGACCACTGGCCATCCCTCAGCGCCGCCCTAGCCAAGAGGACAGTTGACAGCACGACCTGGGCGCGCTTGCTGCATTCTGCCCTCACGACGAAGGCTGTGGGGGCCAGGGGCTCCTTGGAGACGCTGCGCTGCTTCTTCTTCCTACGCGCAGCCTCACACTGCAGGGAGGCGCAGCACCTCTCCAATCCACAGGCCGAGGAGCTGGTGAAGTCACAGAGGGATCAGCTGGGCCGCCTGTGCCGTCCGAACTCCTGAGTCGCTCCTAGGTCCTAGCATTTCTGACCGCCTGGCATTCGGAAGCCGCGTCGCCGCGTCGCTGACAAAGTTCCTTGCAGCTCTCAGGGGCTTCTCAGCGGCTTCTTTCAGGTTTCCTTCGGTTTCCTTGGGTTTCTCGACGACCACCTACAGTTTCACTCAATAGGATTGTGGCAACAGGCAAGCTGAGAGGCATATTGCAAACGCAGTTCTCTTGGATGTGATTGACAGGTTGACACTGTGCTAGGAACATTAGCTCTGTAGGTACCGCCGGTACATCAGCATTACCATGAACGGACAGGGAACTGCATGAAAATTACAAATGGATCCGCCTTACTTTCAGATTCAGACAGGGAAAGCCAAGGCCCCACGGCCTCCCACTTTTCGTAGCTGTGCTTCTGAGGCCTGGCTCGAGCAGAGCAACCTGTAGCCCTCCAGACTCAGTGGACCAGCTCCCGGCCGGGGGGGCTCTCTGGGACCCACAAAAATGGACGCGACCATGGGGAGCATCGCCCCGACGGGGCTGAAGGGAAAGCTCGCGGCCCTTGAGGTCCAATCGCCCCGCCTTTTTTGTCGTGCATCGTGCAGCTGCACTTGCAGCATCCCGCGGCTGGCAGGATTTCATTTCTATGCAGAATGAAGAGCTGGCTGCGCAGCGCCAGGAGCTGGTTTCGATAGCTTTTTCTAGAAAGCCAAGCCCAGCTTCATCGACCGGTCAGGAAATTGAGAGCCTCCGTGGTGACAAGGCTGGCATCGAGGCCTGGCATCACACCATGGCCTCAGTGACAACGGCTCTTGCCTGTGCTGATGTGGCCCAGGAGCACTACCAGGGCCAGCTGCAGGAGCTGAAGAAGACCATGGTCGGGGACGTGCAGCGCCTTCAGGAGAATCTCACGGAGGTCTGATTTGCAATTGAAGACTCGTTGCCGCAAGGATGAAGTGAAGAGGCACTTTGCACAGCAAAAGGCAGAAAATGCTCGCCGGCCTCGGCTCGCTTTTGAAAACGTCGCTTGGCGGCTCATTCATCTTTGAGATGATGGCCAGGCCTGCAACAGCAGGTCACCACCCTGAAGGGTGAGAAAACGTCGCAGCCTTAGCATCGCCTTTGGGCAGTCAACGCGCAGCTCGTGGTGTCTAAGACAGGTCCTTGCAGCAGCAGATTCTCGGGCTTCAGCGGCGAATTCAAGAAATCGAAGAGCAGGCCCAACCTTTTTGCCGTGCCCTTTTTGCTTTGCCCTGAACACGGTGAGAACAGGTCGGTGCTGACTAGAAAGCTTCACGAGGCGACGTGTCTTGTCGGAGGGCTGGCGAGTCGAGATTTCAGCTGGAAGGTTGCAGTGCTCGTCGAAAGATGTGCTCCTGAACCACGAATAATATTTGCAAGCGTTTCACCCGCATGGACCTACAGTCGTACCTTTCTGCAAGCATTCGGGCGCATGACATGGGGCTTCTTCCAGCATCGATGCACGATGATTTACAACGTACCTTCGTTGTCGGGTATGTTCGAGAAGCACTTGCAGATGAGGAATCGCTTGGGCGTTTCCCGGGCGCCGGAAGTTGCACTCCAGTGCTAGCTCTCGGGCTTCGGCAACTTAAGAGCTTTTAATAACCAGTCCTGTATGATGAAGGAATGTGAGGCTCGAGCTGGGTCAGCAATCAGTCCCGGTGGCTAAACCTCCAAGAAACAGGAGGTCGGTGCCTACTCTTCACCGTTCACACAACACGGTGCAGCCGCTCATGCATCTTGTCTGAATGCTGCACCGTTTGCCATGCCGAGCAGGATCCAATGATTTGGGATCTTGCTTGACGTCTGGCCATGAAAGAGATAACGACTCGAGCTGACCAGAGAAATCCTGGACTGCAGCTTGCCGCTTCGCACCTCGACAGGTCGCGCAGAAAAAGAAGGATGTCGTATACCGAAGGCTTAGTCCACCATGCTCAGCCGTTCTCCGCCATCAGCTCTGATCTTGCGACTCATGACTGCTACCTGGATCAGAGAGTTTTCCGACCACCGGTGGGTGGAGCTTCCGATCCCTCTGTCCAGGCGCATGGTGCACCGTTTGCAGAGTCGAGCATGATCTGCACGTGGCGGACCGGATCCGCTGGGAGGCTCCAGCTCCAAACCCACAACAATGGACGCGACCATGGGGAGCATCGCCCCGACGGGGCTGAAGGGAAAGCTCGCGGCCCTTGAGGTCCAATCGCCCCGCCTTTTTTGTCGTGCATCGTGCAGCTGCACTTGCAGCATCCCACGGCTGGCAGGATTTCATTTCTATGCAGAATGAAGAGCTGGCTGCGCAGCGCCAGGAGCTGGTTTCGATAGCTTTTTCTAGAAAGCCAAGCCCAGCTGCATCGACCGGTCAGGAAATTGAGAGCCTCCGTGGTGACAAGGCTGGCATCGAGGCCTGGCATCACACCATGGCCTCAGTGACAACGGCTCTTGCCTGTGCTGATGTGGCCCAGGAGCACTACCAGGGCCAGCTGCAGGAGCTGAAGAAGACCATGGTCGGGGACGTGCAGCGCCTTCAGGAGAATCTCACGGACGTTGTATTGTTCGGGCCCATGAAGATGTGTGCACATCTGGCCGCAGGATGAGGTAAAGCGGCACTTTGCTCAACAGAAAGCAGAAAATGCCCGTGCCGCCTGCAAGTGATTTTGGCTTAACCTCTGAGTCCCAAGAATGCCGGGAAGCTTTGCTGGCGAGATGTTATGTGTCTCATGTGCTTTGGCAGGTCTGCAGCAACAGATTACGACCTTGAAAGGCGAGAAGACGTCAGCTACCCTTCATTCCGCCGTCTAGATGTTTTGCAGAGCTGGAACTGGTCGGAGATATGGAGCTGATTAAGGTCCCTGCAGCAGCAGATTTTGGGTTTGCAAAGGCGGATCCAGGAAATCGAAGAGCAGGCTGCCCAAGAGTAAGTTGACGAATTGTGGGACGTTCGTTCTGTGCACAGGTTGGTGCTGATTGAAAACTCGCAGGCCGCGGATCTCGTTCGGGGATCAGATGCTGAGTCTTCGAAATGCCCGTTTGATCTTGCCAAGCTCGCTACGAAAGAAGGGCCGAAGGGCCTATAGGATTCTTTTGGGATCTCCGCAGCTCGAGAGAAGAGTTGTCCAGAGATTGTGAGGCTTTCGGAGTTCGCAGCGCAAGTCACAAGCATCCCAAGGGTGTGAGGGTTCTGCGCCCGCGCGGCTCTAGACGAGGAGATGAGAGGTCAGGTAGCCCTGGTGTATCTATGTCCTAAACCTCAGGAGTTTCGAGCATTCATTCTTGCCCATCAGCTCGCTGGATTCTGCCTGATGTATCCACGTGCCGACATGCCTGCAGGCACTACCTTGTGGACATTATGTGAGATGGTTGGACTCATGTTCGGCACTTCGTTTGCTTCAAGCCGCTTAAACCGTTGAGTGCATCAGCTGGGCGATGCGAGCAATCCCGCACCGAAGAAAGGAACCGGAATGCCCTCTTGTGCGGTTTGCTGCCCAAACAAGAATGAAATCTACACATGTCAATGTAGGCGCATGCTGCGTTGCCACACAGCACATCTTAAAGTTAGTCTTAATTCGAATACTGCTAGTATGTGATCAAAGTATGAACGGTGGCAGAGTTGCTTCGAGTTTCACGGGCAGGCTGACTCCACACGAGTCCTTGTCCTTGGAAATGCATGAGAAGGATGCTTGCGAACTACTCTTGCTTGAGTTCTGTGAATCTTGCGGAGCCCAGGCAGAATGACTGTGTGTAGGCCTCTCTAGAGCTACTTGCTGGTCAGAAGATGAAATGCGATCGAAGACCCTGCATTTGCTGAGACTGTAGAACCCAGCAGATGCTGCATGGAATGGTGTGACGGTGTGCCGCTACCGCAGCCTGGTTATTGAGCTCAGCTAACGCCTCGCAACGGCTTCCAAGACTTCGATGTCTGATGACGACCTCGTACAGGTCTGCAGCTCCTGAAAGCAGTCTTTTTTCCTCTCGCGGCTTGGAAGGTCGGGAAGGCCCTGAGCTCGCTCAAAGACAACGAGCGCTTTCACGGAGCATCTGACTCAGAGGCTCTTGCTACAGAGGTGCTGAGGCTGCCTACGAGCATCGTTCCGCTGTTGTAGTCAAACTGTGCCAAGGTCTTGCAGCAGCCTTCTGTGTCGAAGGCACTTTACGTGAAGAATCGATGAAAGAAAGCGCCGACATGAGAACAGGCTGTCCGACATTGGGCTGGCATAGAGCGGCTCTCACCTGAGGACGGCAAAGTGCAAACCTTTCTGAGGGCTACTCATGAAAGCCTTTCTGCGACTCTGCGAGTTGAGAGCTGTGCGCAGGAATGCGAAGACTGGCAGTCGGACGGGCAGATCATGTTCGTTCTCGCTCCTTGGCATGACTCGTCGTCGCAGGCCACTATTTGCCAGGAGCTTGTGTGATCGCCAGGCAGAGCTGCGTCGCCAGGACCCAATTGACTCAGCAAGGTAGGGCTTAACTGAGATTTGCTGATATCTGGAAGGTTTGGAGCACTGCTGCAGAAAAGCAGGAATGAAGGCAAGGATGCAATCCTGTGTCTTGCCAGTGAATACAAGGTTGCCACAACAACTCCTGCGCCGGGATCGTTAATAGTTTGAGATTGGAAGGGAGCTTGCGGCTTTATCTGCAGCAGTAGCGCAAAACGACAGATCCAGCGTAGTGAGTTGTTGCGGAAAGCTGGATGGACAGGAGAGCAGCCTAGTCATAGCACAAACCGCTGAATGCAGCTGCGATTGGAAGCTTGCGCCTCAAGAAGGGACATTTAGAAAGTTGATTCATAGTTATGTTCTGGCAATCGGTAATTCGAAGTCTATCCTGGATGGGTAGTTTACGAGTCCACCGGGTTCCATAAGAACTGTTTGACTTCAAAGCTTAGCTTCTGCCTTGTCATGAGGACAGGCCCAGTGCAGCCTCGGACAACCCTAGCAGATGCAATAGCCCTACTCAAAGCTGCGAGGACACGCTGCATTCAGCCAGTTTCTATTGTGGCAGATAAAGTGGAGGATCCGCCCAGCAAGCGCCAGAGGACAGAAGAAGGTGCAGCCACAAGGGCTCCAGATTGCAAGAGCATCGACCCTTCAACTAGAACGTGGCAACATGATGAACCTGCACCGGCAAAGCTTGCTGGCGAAGATTGGGAAGAGCACCGCTCAAAAGTAGGGCTCCAACTGATGGGGGAGATGTCCAGCGCAAATGCTTCACTGAATTATTTCCTCAAGGATGAGTCCAGGCGGAGCTTTGCGGCGCACTTGGCAAATCCATTCGGCCAGCAGTTTTGCGCGTCCTGGTTTGCCAAAGTGCGGGTTGGTACGAAGTGGCTGCAGCCAAACTCATGGTGGGGACCGATGCCTCGAAAAACGGCTTGGATGGTTGCCAAAGGACATACTTGCACATACGAGTATGGGGGAATGGAAGTGCAGCCCATAGAGTATCCTGTTTGGATGATTGAACTCATGCAGAGTGTCATGCCTCACTGCGGCCTGACGGAAATCAAGGACATGCCCAACAGCTGCAACCTGAACCTCTATGAAGATGGTAAGCAGATGGTAGGTTGGCACGCAGACGACGAAGAGCTTTTTCAAGGCAAGAGCAAGGACTGCAGGATCATCTCCTTGTCCTTGGGAGCGTCCCGTCAGTTCGAGTTAGAGCTCAACTGGCCTGGACCGCATGAGTCGATCGGAGTCGTGCAGACGCTTTCTGACGGTGACATCTGTACAATGGAAGGCATGACGCAGAAGCATTTCATGCATCGTGTGCCCGAGGAAGAGACGCCTGTCGGACCACGTATCAACCTGACTTGGCGATGGATTGCCAAGCCACGGGACTCCTCAAAGAAGCAGGAGGAAAAGGTGTAGGTTTGTTTCTGTGCCGCTAGGGACGACTCCAGGGACGGTCCACTGGGCAAAAGAGGGCTGCTGTGAATCCTGGCTGCTTCGTCAGATTGCAATTGAACAAGGCACAGATGCTCAGACGACCGTACTCGAATTGCTTGCATGAGGGGGCCTGTGACAGGTGCCGTTGCACACGGTGCTCGCCTGTGAGGATGAGCTGCCTTTGCCGGATGGCCCCTCGGTTTGCTTAAGCTCCCTGCGTCGGCCTGCCAGCTGCCTGTTGTTGCCTGTTGCTCTGATGCTTAACAGAGACATCAACGTGCACACACCCGGCCACCAAGAGCGTTGGCCCTTCTTCGTTCGGAAGATGTTCGGCCAGCAACAGGAATGGCACAACATCCCATGCCCGTCGACTGACCGGAAATAATCAATTCGGTCCAATTCGTTTGCTGTCCTTTTTCCAGTGCTAGTCATTGCTGGTCAGCCGCCGGTCTGCCCTTGCTCGAGTCGCAACACAGCCCAAACTTTTGATGCTGCATCAAGCGATGTATAGTTCAACCCTGAACCTGCCTTGACTACTTCGGCTTGTGCTAGAGTCAGCTTGGAGCAACTGCTAGTCGAGACTGGTTTGACGATCCCTCCATAAGTTTCCGAAAAGGTCGTGACTCTCGGTCATGCCACCGTTGCGGTTTCGGACTCCGTTGTGTTTCGCGAGAGACGCGGTCACGCCCACGCTCTCGGCTGCGTTTTTGTTCTGTTGGTTATCTTGCCTGTCACGATGCAGACTGACAGGAACCCTTCCCCATTCCCCACTACCACGCCTGTTAGCAGCTAACAAATCTTGACAGTGTGGTGCCACGAGAACTCACTTCAGAATGCTGTGACAGGAGTTCAGGTCGCTTGAAGAGCAAACCCAGGAACCCCGTGTGCGATGGAGCAAGTTGTTTGTTGGTTAGGAGTGAGCAGCGTTGTTCAGGCTACAACTAAACGCAATAAAAAGACACGCGAAGCCTGCTGAAAACGTCAAGGGTGCAGTGGCCAGAGGGCTTGTTTATTTTTCAAGGCAGGGCTTTTCAGTTTCTATCCTATTGAACAGCAGCACAGGAAGCGGCGAAATCCGTCACTAACGTGCTGTGACCGAAACCTTTCCTTAGTGATGGCTGGCTGTAAGAGAACTCAGTTTTGATTGAAGCGGTCAGGAAGGAGACTGCGTGGTGGAAAGCTTGAGAACGCTGCGGTGCAATCGACATTGGAGGCAGTGACTCGCGAGAGTGTTTCAGCGTCACTGCACTGCAAGACCTCGACGTGTCGATTTGCCTTGCAATCCCGAAGTACCTGTCGTGTTTCTGATTTTAGAGTGTCTGAAAGCACAACGAGTGATAAGCGAATGCAGGGCCCTCTGGCCGGATTTTTGCAGCCTTGCAGGATTTGCCAGATCTCCCGCCCGTCGATCCTGGAGCATGGAGGTCGCTCTACTGTCCCAGGTGTGTGCAGAGATTGCACCTCGCAGGAGGACTCTTGTATGGCAGCTTGTCACCATGGCCCGGTGCCAAGACAGCCGCAAGAGAGCTGTGTTTGGTATGGTGATCTGGTGGAGGGTGTTGCATGATCAGGTTCTGGCAGCTGTGTTGGCACGTGTAGGTCCAGCTTTGCGAATGGCCCAAGATTTCTGGAACGCCGTGCAACTCTGCCAGGCGTCTGGTACCAAGAGGAGGAGTTCGCAAAGCTTGCGATGAATGCAACCAGTGCAGTCGGCGTCCTAGGACCGGGCGGTTTTCTCGAGTGCAAAGCGATTGTCTCCAGGTCAACGATGCAGAGCTCTGACAAGATTTCGGCTCTTCATCAATGGGGTGAGCTTAAAGCGGCCTCAGGCCACTGCCGCCTCGGACACGTGACTTGCCAGTGGATGTGGCGGAATTGCTGCGACCTTGCGAAGACATTGACCGCGCAACTGTGTGGTCTTCTGTGATCCCAGTCGCTAGCCGCTACTAGTAGCTCTTTCCCGAAGAAAGCCTTCCAGTGGACAGCCTGCAGCCAGAGCGACGCGGACAAATAGGTTCTTTGCAGACCGCGCACAGATGCTGCGTCGGATGCTCTCACCATGTGTTTGGTCCGATTTATGTTCGCTCTTCCACCGGTCGGCTCGTCAAGGTTTGCCAACTACGTCCATTTCTAGTCAGGTTGAGCTGGAGTTTCTTCTCTAGCTTCGCAGGCCGGACATTGGGCTTGGAGCCGGCAAATCGGAACTTGTGGGATGTTGTTGCACGACGGTAGTTGCATCCCAGTGCCACTGGGGGCATGTGCAGGCTCCCCCTTTGCGCATCCATGGCCAAGAAGAGTAAGGCTGCAAGGGCATGAGATTTGAGCGATGGGTGGCATTGTTGATTCAACAGGAACCCAAACCAGTAATTGTCAGAGCCTGAGGTCTCATTCCACCATTGGTACTCGGGGGTTGGTGTCCCTGCGAAAGTCGCTTTTCTTGATCACCCGATCTCAGGATCAGGTCCTTTCCTGGATCTCCATCCTGGCTGGCCTCATTGCCCTTGTCTGTCTGGTTCCGAAGGTTCCGTCGGGGCCCTGGTTTCCAGATCTGGCGATGTCGTTACACGATATGTAAATGCGTACATACATAGGTACATTTACATACATGCATGCATACATCCATCCATCCATACATACATACGTGCATACAGATGTACCTGCTTACATGCGCGCATGTCGTTTTCCATTGATGTACCCACGTACATACGTGTACATATATATATATATATATGTTTGTATATACATACAAATACATGTGTCTGCTATCTATCTATCTATCTATCTATCTATCTATCTATCTATCTATCTATCTATATGCTACCTCCTCATGTAGCCACGCTTTGTGCTTGAATCGTGTGCGAAAGCTCATGTGAACCCTTTGCTTGGCTTATGTGCTAGCAAAACTGCTCATTGAGTGCAGCGTGCTCTACACGTACGAGAAGGTTCATGTAGCCCCATATGTGCATATAGCCGTGGTTGGTGGCAGAAATGGACAGACATTGCATGTGTCAGCGAAGCGGCAGAGCTTCAACACACGAGTTGTTTCGTGTGGGGGAGGCCCAGACTCGGTGATTTGGTGTCCTAGGACTCTAGGACACAAACGCCATCATAAAGCCAGTACACAGGGCACCGAATCCTACTCAATGGCCTTATGGTTAATATCGAGAAGCTGGATCATTTGGAGGGACTGAGCCGACGGTCCTTGGCCCCATGAAGAGGGGTGTTGTAGATGGTGAGGGTTCATCCACACGCGGCAATTGTGACGACTGCGCCGATATTTCAAGCAGCCGCGGGGATCGAGCTGCAGATTCGACACGGTACATGTGGAGCAGGTAGGGCAGGTCTTGCCCCCATTTTGCGATGAACTTGTCCACGATGAGGATGTTGATGATCTCCTTGTCGGAGGCTCGCAGGAGCTGATGAAATGTCCTTTTCCACTCGATTTGCTCCTTGTGTTGTCCACGGGGACCCACAGCAAACTTCTCACGAACATGCTTGACATATCTTGACATCCTTCCAAAGTAGTGGATTTCTTGGCGGTGGGTCGCTTCTGAACTTGCCCGTCTTGGCGCGGTGTTGTTGACAGTGAGCTTGCCCACAGCTGTCCGGTTTGCTGTGTGCCAAAATGCTGTGCTTACAATGCACCTTTTGTCTTGTCTGTACTTCCTTGCGATTTATACTGCGCGAGTGCGGGGAACGATTTGCACGTTAGACAATGCAGTTGCAAGTGTTGCAGAGCTACAAAACAAAACCCCGTGCACAGGTCAGTTGCGCCTCGCCCTGGCGGCCTCCTCGTCCCCATCGTCCTGAAGATCCATTTTTTCACCGGGTGAAGCCGCTCATGATGCTAATGCTGAGCATTCCACACGATCGGCAGAAGATGCTGGAGTGTTGCTCATGTAGATGTTCCTGGAAGCGTCAGCGGAGACGTCTTTCAGGAGTTGGATAGACAAAGTTCGAGGCGTTTGTCAGCCGTTTCCGGGGTCCCTACTAGCTAGTTGGATTGACAACGGGAAACTGTCGGCGACGGCGTCTTCGTGGAAGGCGAAGATGGCAATCAGCAGACGGCAAGAACCGGAGCCGGAGATTGGATGATGTTTCAATGTCTCACTGCAAACTCCACGTACCGCTTCTGATCCATCTCATCCATGCCCGAAAGATTTGTGGACCGTTCCTGGTCCCGCTGCACCGCCTCCTCGAAGTCGTCGCCCTTCTTGATGGAGCAAGCTTTGTAGTCACCGAAGAAACGCTTGTCATGGCTGGCCAAAACATCCAAGTGAACGTCGTCCTCAACAATGAAAGTCAGAGATACGGAACATGCTTGCCGTAGACACAGACTATGGCTCTCTTTAGCGCTGCCGTGACACCTGCATCTGTCTCGCCCACGAAAGTATGCGGAAGAAGTTTCAACATCTCCTCTGGATTGATGGACTTCCTGCGGTCTGGCTCTGGCTTATCTTCCGCTTTCAAGTGGCTGCCGGCGCATGCTTTCACCTCGCCTCGCACCAGCTTGGTGTCATTGTACCTCCCGGAGCAAGACTGGTCTTCCTCGGCCGTGAGGTAGGACTTCAGCTTGGCAAGATCAAGTTTCTCACGACTCAGGTCGTCGAAAAAGACCCCCCCGAGAGAGCTGAGGAAGGGATGTCGGATGTTGGCTAAGTCCCTGGACCTCCTGCAACCAAGTTTTCGGATGTGGTATTTGCCAATAGCCAAAATCATGTTCCCCACAACAGATGCCATGAATGACAAAAGGAGGGTTTATCAGTGGCAGCAACACAGCAGACATGAAATCATTCATGCTGCAGTGTGCAAAGCGTAAGGGGACCCTGGCTGCGCGCCGGCGAACCCACGGCTCTTGTCCTGGTCCATGCCCCGACCTTTGGACTCTGGCCAACGCTCTATTGGAGTACCCGACTGCTCGCATATGGACGAGAAGATCTACAAGCTTTGCCCGTTCACAGCTTCACCGGGGTCTGTGAATGTATGAAATCGTTGTTGTTGTAGACGCCAAACGACGACAGACTCAAGCCCGAAGACCGTCTGGACGCCAAATTTAACACCGCCCCAAGCTGCATGTAGATCAGGCCGCAGCCCTTCTCCCGCGCCCGTTCGGTCTACGAGGCAGCGAGCACACCAGTTCAACAAACTTGTCCTGGTACATGAAATCAAGGCCCCTACTGAGCTCTGCATCTTCTGGGGCCCACTGCGCTGACACATGGTACTTGATTCCACATGATGTGGAACCCATGCAGGCGCTGCAACACATGCTGGATCGCTTTCTTGAAAGCCGCTCACGGCCCTTGTCATGTTGGCATACACGGCAAACTCATTGTATTATGTTTTCAAGCTACTCTCGCCTTCGCCTTGCCTTGACGGAAAACGGGAACATAGGTACATACATACATACCTACCTACATACACACACACACATATATATATATAGATAACCATCAATATATGTGTTTGCATATACGTGCAAATACATATACACATGTTTATACATCAGAGTATACATATACATGCACATGCACCTACATGTACTTGCACCAATAATTAATTAGGCAAGGACATAAGCATGAACACAGACATGTGCATGCACATAGGCATGCACATCCACATACGCATACACATGCCCACACACACACACACACACGCTCACTCCTACATGCATACGTACATGCTTCTTACAGACATGCAGACATGCATATTACATACGTGCAGACATACATTCATCCGTCCATAGATACAGAAGTAATGCCGACTCAGATGCTTGATTTGGCTTCAGTTACCGTTATTGTCATTTTACTTCCACTTCATTTTGCAGTTGTTTGGATGACCGTTTTCGTTTCATATCTACCCCTGTTGCTGTCTCTGCTGGCACAACAACATACCGCCCATGCACATCGACAAACCGTTCGTGAACGTTACAACAATGAAGAACACGGTGAACGTTACAATGAAGAACACAAATATCGTATTTCGTGGAGCTCGCAACTCATACTGCCATGCAGAGAAGTCAACATGTTCTCAACGGGCCAAGCATGCTCAGGTACCGATATGCTGAGATCTACACGGGATATCACGCAAGGTGAGATCGGCTGTTTGTTGTTTGCATCCAAGAGCGACATGATGCATGACGCAGCATGCAGCCAGATGCACAGGTTTGGAGTTCAGAGACGGTACTCTCTGTTCGGACTCACCAACAGGAACGGGCAGCTGGCCCTTGCCTGAGCGGAAACTGCAGCGGCCGCTGTCGCTGTGGTTTTCGTTGGTCAGCCGTCAGGAATCCTGGTTCAAAGTCAAGAGAGACACCTGCATGAAGATGAAGGCCTGCGCAGCCATTCTTCTGCCTGTATGGACTGCAGAAGCTGCATGGTACCTGTAATGACGACCGGACGATCTAATGGGTTGTTGTTCTAGTTGTAAGAGCTGTTGTGGTGGGCAGCTGTCCTGAGTGCAAGGAGTTTGCGCAGAGCAACCCGTTACTGGCCCCGGCCCCAATGTGGACTCTGCCACGAGCGGCTCTACTTTTCATCATCGCCGGGCTGCACCGTGATGACGATTTAAAGAGGGCAGGAGATCACCTGGAGAGCCACTGCTGAGGCCGTCGCTGGAAGCTTGGCGGCGTCCCAGTCAAAGGTTGGAGGAGCCGTGGCGGGATGCGTGTTCTGGGACGCTTGCAAAGTCACGCACTCAGCCGACTACTATGTGATCCGAATCGTTATGCTGCATACTTGCAGCGAGGCGCAGCTGAACGTGAGATGCATGGAGTACACCACTATGTCGATCATCAGTGCCCTGGCCGGATGATATTCCTGTGTTTTTCGATGGCTCGCTTCGGAAGGGTTTGCGAGAAGACAGGGCGTGCCATGAATCGTTCGCAAGGAACGGATGAACCAATCACGGCTTGGACATACTTGTTGCCACAAAAGACTTTATGAAGAGTGTGTGTTGAGTCAGCGCACATGGTGTCTCGTGTGGGCTTCACTAAGTGCACGTTTACAACGTGTTGTCCTTTGTATACACCACCTGTATAAAGAGCTGCGCAACCACTGCTCAGTAGACGGTTTCCGTTCTGAGGGAACACAGGAGATCGCATGAAGCTCATGTTATGCTAGAGCATGCTCGTGACAGACTGAAATCGAGGCCTGATTTGCATGCTGTTCCAGCTCATCGGAGGCCACGTGCCAGTGCATCGCATTTGCTGTCCGTCACTTCTTCGGTTCGCTCTTCAACTGCCGCCAGCTGGTTGCCTACTGTGTGTGCCCATGATGCTCAACAGTGAAGATGACGCAGCGAAGGACAAGAAGGCACACCTGTGGCACTGGCACTCATGGTCACTCGAGACCGGTCTCTACTTTGGTGTGCAGGGCGCCGACAAGAAGGAGAAGGCCACGAGGAATGCCATGCAAGCGACGATGAACGTCGCCATTGCCGGTTTTATGTGCTCGGCTCACTGACACCACAAGCTGCAGCGTGAAACGAAGCTCAGAAGCACTTCAGGTTTCCATTGATATCTTGGGCCATGTATATGGGGCATCAACCTGAGATGTCGTCATGTGGAGAGCAGCGTTGCATTGAAGGAGAATCGTTGCGCTGCTAGGATGACGGACAGCATGTTCCACACGTTCAAAGCCAAAGAGCGGGTGCCTCAGTTTTCTGCTTCTTTGCGAGTTGGAAATGCTGCTCTGTCAGGGCGTACGCTTACGGCTATGCCTACGTCGGATCGTACATAGCCGTGTCCGCATTTTCTTTCGCTTCACTCGGTGCGATGCTTAGAGTCTCCATCCAGCATGCACTGGCCGCAAGTAGTTCGCCGTTTTTCTCGTGGATGTCACTTGGTAATACTCTGTGTCCGCAAGGGGTCCTATGCGCTTGGCGCCGATGGGCGGTATTCGGGCAGGCACGGCGAACTGCAAAGCAACTGAAGACTTGGAGCGCATGTGATGTTTCTGGAACAGGACAAGGACGAAGAGGAGGATACCGCAGCAGCCAACGCGAGCTTGCCAACGGAGCGCTGCTTGCATTTTATTGTAGTGGTGCCAAAGAGATGGTGCAAGAACCGCTGTTCTCCAGGATCCAATGTTCTGAGCTTAGGCATTGCGAGGTCATGGCAGCCTTTCAGTGAGGTGTTGCACTTCTGACAGATATTGCACGTCAACCGAGGGCAGGCATGCCACCTGGGGGTGCCCCCGGTATGCGTCACGCTGAGTTTGTCACTGAAGGCTCAATTCATGCACTCGGCCGCTCCGCAGGCATGCTCTTGTACAAGTGAGGCCACCGCCGATGCCGCCTCCATCCTGAGTTTCCACCGCGACAACCTGGTGGATGTTCACGCACTGCTCAAAAAATTGAGATGTGCTGCCTGTGAGCTTGATTGCACAGATGCGTCCTGTCATGTCCTGTCGAATGCAGCCTCCGCACAAATCGGGTGGTCACAAGAAGCGTCTTGTGTGCACTGGGAAAGCGCATGAAAGCGCACAATATGCGACAAGTAGCAAACACGTGTTGTCACACTCTGTCCAACAACTCGCACAACAAGCTGTACTTTAAGGACAATGATTCCCCTCCGCAGACCTTGATCGTTCTGCCAAAGCGGCTTCTCCGGTTCGGCCATGGGCGCATCATGGCGCATCATCATGAGCATTGCTCTTCCAGCACGCTCCGTTCGGTGTCGGAGTTGAAATGCGGAGGAAAGCAAGCCTTGTGCTTCGTCGTGCATCATATGGAGCAATATCTAGCCTCGCCAATATGTTAAATACTATATGTAACCTCGCTTTAAACACCCGATCGTCGCAGCTCCCGCTTTGTGGTAATCCTTCAAACCAAAGGCGTAATTTTTGAATCAAGCGCTTATGCCGTTGGCAGTGGTGCCGCTGCTCGTCGCTCGTGAGTCGTCAATCGACGATAGCCGCTGCGGAGCGCGAGGCAATACCCATCCCGGGGTTATGTGTGGCGCCTAGCAGACGGTGGTGTCCTTGTATGCGACGTAAGGGCCCAGCTCGATAAACGACTGAGTGGCAATCAGAAAAAACACAAACGGGACCAGATGATTCCGAAAACCAGTGCTGCGCCACCAGATCTCGAAGCCTCACACGTGCTCAGCTCGAGCTGCGCCGCAGTGGACTCTGTCTTTGCGGTGCCGAGCGCCACACCGTTGCGGTTCATTAGGCTTCTTGGGCCGATGCGCTCCCTCGCGGCCCTCGCGCAGCGTGATCCAGACCTTGTCCAAGCCCTGGTGCTTGGGCCTCTACTCTACCCCTGCAAGCCGCAGGCTTCGAAACCCTCACATGGGGTGATGTGCTCACAGCCGGGCCACCTGCCTCGCCTGCAGACGACTCTCACGCACGCACAGTTGACGACTTCTGCAACCGTGCCATCCGCCGTGAGATGCCGTGAGCTAGATGCCCCAGGCCTGGCCATGCCGGATTCGAAGTCAGGGCCCACGCCGTGAGCATCCTGAGCTGCCCCTCAGCTCGCCACTTTTCCGTGTGCTGCTTCTCCGCCGACTCCGCCTGCCACTCAACGGAGTAGCGCGTGTCTCCCCCGAGTTTTACTTGTGCCCCGCGCAGGGTCGGTGGACGCACTGCCGGGGCCGCGCCTGCAATGGTCGAAAAGCCATGCAACACATACCCTTGAACTGCGGCAGTCCACCAAGTGCGAGCTCGTCGTTCTTACATGTGACTTCGGTGGCCGCTTGAGCAGTGGTGAAGCAGCGACCTTCGCCAGATTCCTTGCACGCCAGCGTGTGCGCGCTGCCGTTGCCTCCTGCAGCGGACCGTGCATATCTGCCTTTGTCTCTCGATGGTCCGCCTTTGCTGCCAGCCTCCTCTCCTTGTCCCTTTCATTCCGGCACGTCCAACGTCGATGGCGTCGCCCCGCTGTTGAATGACATTCTTGCCGACCTCTCCCTCCAGCCACCGGTGGGCCTGGACGGCATTGTGCCCGCCAGCAGCCGCCCCGGCACGCCCAGCTTGCCGTTGACACCACGCTAGTTTTGCCCCTCGCCACAACCGGCATGCCACGCACAGACAGAAGGTTGTGGGGCAGCTGTGCATGCCGCTGAATGTGCCAAAGCCCGGACATACCCAGAGCTCGGTCGCCGCTGTCGGCTTGTCGTGCTTGACATGCGCTGGAGCCTTCAAGCCGCCGAGTTAGTCAGACTACTTGCTCGAAGCCGGGGATGTGCGGCTCCTCTTGTGCAGCGGGCTGGTTTGCTACTTGCCGTTGAAAGCGCGAGGTCCTTTGCAGCGAACCTCCTCCCCCTCCCCTATGCGGCGCAGCCAAATTGAGAAGCAGTGCTCCTCAGCGACGTCCTTGCTGACTCTTCCGAGCAGCCCCGCCTTGCCAGCCGCGTGCCGTAAGTAAGTTACTCCGTTGGCTTTGGGCATGTGCACGGGGACCGCGACGTGGACGGACGTAGAAATCGTGAAAGAGGTGTGTGCAAGAAGCTCTGCCTCAGATTCTTCGTCAATGGCCTCAACAATCATGCTCCAAATGACACCAATGCCTTTACAGAACTCGAAGTTTCAGCAGATGCCGGTTGCAAGCTTCATTCTCCTTCTCCGCCTCCTCCTCCTCCTCCTGTCTCCCGTAACATCCACTGAATATGGAATTCGTGGAAAACAAACAGCTGAAGCAGTTTCCTGCGTTCCCGTAGGCTGCGCCGCCCTGCGACCCGACACCCAAGAATTCGTGAGCTCCCCGTAGTAAGCTTCCTGTCCGGCCCTTGGAGGGCGCAACCACGGATCGTTGCATTGGCATGATGCCTCGCAACATCGCGTAACGTGTTGGACTAGGGCCTCGCAGGCACCTGCGCTGTTTGAGGTTCAAGGTGAAGCAATGACGGCGTACCGCAGCATCCACCTGGTAAAAGCATGGTGTTCTGCTGCTCCAAGGTAGTCCGCACAGGCTGCGAGAGCTCCGCGCAGCTGAGCTGCATGCAGCTCCTGTGCCAGGCCTACTGACACAGAGCCGAAACGATGCCTTTGCCAATACCTTCCATAGCGTCCTGCGCTAACTGTGGCGTACAGCAGCTTGCTTTCGCAGTCTCAGCAACTCGGCTCCCGCTTGGATTTCCCTAAGATATCGTCGGTGGTCCACACCGCCGCCAGGGCAGCAGGGCTTCCCACACCCTACAGCGACAAAGAGATAAGCACTATGATAAACAAGTGTGTGATTGCGTGCACAAGTTTTGGAACATATCTTCTAATGCTTCGTCCTTGACAGGTGCATGCCTGACACCCGTTCTTGCCAAGCGTGCGTGTTACACGGTCTCCCGGGACAGGAAACCGTAGCGGCCTTGTCCAATCCGGAGCGGCGGCCGCCGGTGCGCTTGTACGACGTGCCTGCTGCCCTTCTCAACTTCCAGCCGGATTCTTCGGCAGTGCTCACTGACGCCGCCGTCACTCAAGCTCTGCGGACGCCAGGCGCGGCACCGGCTGGCAGTCGGGAAATGGAATTGAGCATATTTAGTGTGTGAAGGCGCGAAGGTTCACACCAAGACAGTTGTGAAGCGGGGCCACGTCTCCAAAGCATCGGACATGTCGTCATTCGAGTAGAGTACATAAACAAATCGAAAAGCCGTTGCCTTCCTGCGGCAACTGGCCAACTCGCCCGCGAATCGCCAGCGCGGCTACGCCCGGCCGTGCAGCGTGGCTCCCTGCACCGATGTATGGGCATGCCGGCCGTGGCGGCACAGCGCGCGCTGGCCTACTCGCTCCTTGAGTTGCCCCTGGCGGGAGCGGACGAATGCGACGGCTCGGTGCCGCTTCTGGGTGACCGCAATGCTCGCAAGTAGTCTCCCCGCCCCATGGGGCTCGCCTTTTTCGTTCACGGGCGGCGTGGAGTCCCATTACAAGTAGCTTTTTTCTTCGGGCTTAGCCTGCGCACACCGCCTGCGAAGGAAGGTGCAAAAAAGTTCGAGAAAAACAAAGTCCAAACTGGTTTCCGATTTTCAGCTGCAAACTTACTCCTTTTTAGTGAACCACATCGTGAGATTTTGCAAAACAAAATTGAAGGTCCCAACGAACTGGGATGGCGTCGACGCTCTTTGAAGGCGTTTGGCACACGCCCCCGCAGCCCACATGAGACGAGCGCGTCCCGCTCGGCTGCGCCCTTACGCTCGCTAAGGCCGAACATTCCGCTAGGTTCCATAACCAGTAGGGTCGCGAATGCCAGAACCACGCTGTGTGGCGAGAGAAGGTCGTGTATCGCAGATCTTTGCATGCAGGACTGGAAAAATCAGTGCTAGAAAAGGCACATCATCCGATGCATGGCGAAGCCGGTGCCTGTGGAAGCGAGCTATATAGCACTGTATGCATCCGCGAAGCCCGCGGAACACCCAAGTTGACAAGAGCGTCCAACTCTCGAAGTCGTGCTATGTTCAATCGTTTATTACAAAGTATCACGGCCGCTGCATCAGGTGTGTATGAAACTCCACGGGCCGAGTCATCACGGCAGCTGAGACCGGTGCAATGGGGAACCAACTCGTCATTTCGGGGCAAGTATTTTCTTTAAGTAAATCCTTTAATTTGTTCAGTGGTTTGCATAGCCATGTGCATATTCCTTGTCTGGCGCAACATGCCAACATCCAGGTGCACCTCGGCAAAACAAGTGCGTGGAACAGTGCGGGAGGAGAACCCCCGAAACTCTTTGATAAGCTTCCACCGCAGGACCCCGAGAACCCGTGCTGGACGGGGAACTGGGCCTTCCCAGCTGCCCAGCAAGGCGTGGTGGTCCTGGGCCGGGTCGCAGCCGCGGGAGCAGGACCGCCTGTGGTTGCGGATTCCGCGGGTGCCTGAACTGCAGTCCGCGTGGTTCCTACCCGCAGCACCCCGCAGCACGTACTTACTTGCGAACCTTGCCGCCGACAGACAGCGCAGACTTCGCTGCCAAGCACGATGCCGCCATCAGGCGCTGCTGGCGGGTGGCGATCACCAGCCGGGTGTCCTCGCCACCCTCCTCCACCGGTGGACGCAGCGGCGATCGGCACGCCCTCTAGCACGCGAGC